AAATTTTGTAAATTTTATTTAAGCATGATAAATGGTCAAACCGGATGGTTGAACCACTCGCCACTCTCCCGTCCGAGCTGCGCCGTTGGTTAAAAGGTACAGGCTGATCGCAGTTTTCCGGTTTTTCCAATTCCTCGTTATCAGACTTTTATAAAACTCTCTTGCGTGTATTCCAGTTTCCAATTGGCCTTCTCATTTTTCTTTATTGTTTATTTTTCTCGGTTTGGTCACTCGGAGAGAGCTCTCTGTCTCGCTTCCAATTCAAGCGTTTTTCAATTGTAAAGAACATTTTCATTTTGGGTGGTTTTAGTTAGATCTTTTGTTTTCACAATTTCCAAAACAAGAACCAAAGCCAGCAAGCAGACCCTGTTCTCTATTAAGGCATGTAATCCATCCTCATCCCCCTGTCAGATCTCCATCTTTCTCTTTCTTCATTGCCATTGTTCTGGGTTTGCAGGAGGGAAAGGGTTCTGCTCTCGGATCTGATCTGAATTTTATCGAGGCATCTCAGCTTTGGATCTGCTACAATTGATGTGCTGAGTCCTCTCTTCGAGAACCACAATGGGGATCCTGTTTACTCGAATGTTCTCTTCACTCTTCGGTAACAGGGAAGCTCGGATCCTTGTTCTTGGCCTTGACAATGCTGGAAAAACGACAATTCTCTGTATCCTTTTCTCTCTTTCTAACTTCTTTTGCGCTTTTCTCTTTTCCGTGGTTTTCGGGTTTTGCTTGTTTTGATATATATTGGACCTTAATTTAACTTTTGTTTAGATCGACTTCAGATGGGGGAAGTTGTCTCCACAATTCCAAGTATGTATGCTAAAATTAAATCTTTAGGTTATCTTTTCCTAATAAGTTTTTTCTCTTCTTTGTACTGTTGACTTATGTGAGTGAGTGGTTTTGTTATGGTGCAGCAATTGGGTTTAATGTGGAAACCGTGCAGTACAACAATATCAAGTTTCAAGTCTGGGATCTGGGTATGTTTCTCTATGCCTTGTTTTCGGCCTTTTCTTTGTTATCCATTTTAATGATAGAACACGATATTGCAATCTGTTATGATTACTTTGATTCATGAGAGGGAAAAAAAAAAGAAGCATGGTGCTTTATATCCGTATTTATATCCGTATGTGATTATTGACCTGAATCTTGAACTTGCAAAACAAAAGCATTATTTAAAATCTCTAATTTGGAAAATCTAATGCGATAAACCCATTGGGTTTAGCTCAGTTGAAATTTGGACAATATCATAGGGTCTTGATTTGCCACCAAAATGAGAGAAAAGTGCCATTTAGGAGTCAAGGTACTGCTGAGTAGATAGCTGTAGGATTTATTATTGGAAACCTGTCAAAGACAAAACAAATAATATGAAACCAAAAACTTCATGTAACATTCCAGCATTCAGTGAAGCAGATTTGTGTGTCAAGTTTGTGAATATGGAAAAAGAAAACAAATTTAATGCTTATATGCAATAAATTTGCTTGGATTTGGTGCTCTGAATTCTTGGCATGAATTGCTGCTTTTGGTTTCTCGTTAATTATGTGAAGCTTCTATTTCCAAATTCCAGAACATGGGGAAGCTTTAGTACAATTGGTATATAAATTTAATATAATGTCAGAAAAGAAAATTGAAAAACTAAATTGTAAAAATAAATTATAGTTAAATTTTGTTTTATGTCCTAGGAGTATCAACTAGAACATAGTTTAGATATTCAGTTYAAAAAGCAATTGTATGACATCATTTAGTAGTTATTTCAAGTATATGTATGCCTTGTAAATATTCCAGAAGGTCTTTCTTGATCAAGAGAAAGCATATAGTACAGATTTTATGGATATAAGATGGCCTATGGGCAATTTCCCCCTTTTTCTACAGTAATACAATACATCATACCTTGCCTTTCCTCAAAAAGGAAAAAGAAGTTACTGTCCAATCTGAATGAGAAGGTCTGCTTTTAGGAAGAATTATGGAAAGAAGCATTGCATTGTTCACTTTGGTGAAAAGTACACTTAAGCAATAAGCATCTAGCCATCTTTTATCACATAGCATTTTGTGTATTTGATGACTTGGTGTGGGACTCTAATGTTCAATTTGACAAATTATGCTCATAGTCTGCTCAGGTTCATTTGTAATGTTTTACCTTCTTTTCTCCTTTAATGGGGTTTTGATGAGGAGAGATCTTTGGCAGCAAGTTCCATTCTTTCCTCATGGTTCCCATATCTGTATTTGTCTTCTGTATCTCTCTTCCCTTTTCCAAATAGTCCCCTTCTTTTCTCTTTAGGCTTATCTCGTGACATAATCTGAAGTTCCATGCTCCATATTCCTATTTAATTTCCTAGATAAGRTTATGATTTTCCTGCTTTTAAGATTGTTTGAAAAAGTTTTCCCGCTTTTGGAGGGATCCTAGAGGAAAGCAATGTTTTGGACATTGTAATTGTAGCATAAGTCACAGAGAAGGTGGAGTTGAATTGGATCATGCATTGTGTCATAAGCAATGTTTCTACAAAAAAAATATTGTTTATGTTTCTACAAATTTTAAAAATTAAAAACTTAAACAAAATGCTGCTATAGTGTACGCTGATAAAAAATGTTGTTGTAGTGTTTCCAAATGTTGGTTACAG